CTCTTTTCAAAAATGACCTTGACTTCCACGTCGACCCAGCCTTGAGTGGGTACTGTGTGCAGTCTCGGGATGTACGGGCGGCCGGCGTGATGCTGACCACATCACCCATCTTGTGCCCATTGGTCTATAAAAATAAAGGTCTAGCCCTATATGCCCTATCTGCCCTACACGCCTAAAGGCGTGGAAAATTAACCTTTAATTGCAGGCGCACAGTCTGTTCGTCCGTTCGATTCTATCCTTTATAATCACTTGAGAGAAAAAAGGACGGAATCCAATCCTGCAGCTTTAGTTTCTCTCATCAACGTTCGCCATAGATTTTCTCTTTGACGTCCTCGTTTCCTCAATCCCTCAAGTTTCCCATTTCCGAGAAACGAAAGCAGTCCACAGAACAAGAAGGAATAGAAGAACCCTACTCCCTTAGACTCCATTACCGACATGTTTAAACAATGCTATAGAAGGAAGAATCAAAATCAGTTAAAACGTTTAATGACAACAAGACAGATTGGAACCAAATGTGAACCCGGACCACAAGGAGTTCGTCACCCACTCACCGCGCAATCCGGTTTAGCCAACTACGCTAGAGAGCCGGGCGAAACACCAGCTGTAAACACAGGCTGTAAACACCAGCTGTAAACACCGGCTGTAAATACCGGCTGTAAACACCAGCTGTAAACACCGGCTGTAAACACCGGGTGTAAACACTGGCTGTTAACACCAGCCGTAAATACCGACTGTAAATACCAGCTGTAAACACCGGCTGTAAATACCAGCTGTAAACACTGGCTGTTAACACCAGCCGTAAATACCGACTGTAAATACCAGCTGTAAACACCGACTGTAAACACCGGCTGTAAACACCGGCTGTAAATACCAGCTGTAAACACTGGCTGTAAATACCGGCTGTAAACACCGGCTGTAAACACCGGCTGTAAACACCGGCTGTAAACACCAGCTGTAAACACCAGCTGTAAACACCGGCTGTAAATACCGGTTGTAAATACCAGCTTTAAATACCGGCTGTAAATACCGGCTGTAAACACTGGCTGTAAACGCCGGCTGTAAACACCAGCTGTAAACACCAGCTGTAAACACCGGCTGGAAACACCGGCTGTAAACACCGGCTGTAAACACCAGCTGTAAATACTATCTGTAAACACCGGCTGTAAATACCGGCTGTAAACACCATCTGTAAATACCGGCTGTAAATACCGGCTGTAAACACCAGCTGTAAACACTGGCTGTAAACACCAGCTGTAAACACCGGCTGTAAACACCAGCTGTAAACACCGGCTGTAAACACTAGCTGTAAACTCCAGCTGTAAACACTGGCTGTAAATACTGGCTGTAAACACCAGCTGTAAACACTGGCTGTAAATACTGGCTGTTAACACTGGCTGTAAATACCGGCTGTAAATACTGGCTGTAAACACCGGCTGTAAATACCCGCTGTAAACACCGGCAGTAAATACCAGTTGTAAATAACGGCGGATGTTCTGGTTGTTTGCCAACTTTTTGACTTTTGTCCTGTTCCAGAACTTGAATGTTGCATGCACCGATCTGCTCCGGAATCCACACTGGGCAAAATGTATCACAAATAGTGCCATCTTCTGTCTTATAACTGTTGATTTACATGGTCTTTGGTTCGTTTCATTATCCGTCGTTAAGTTCACGGATGCAACTTTTAAGGAAACCCGAAGATCGTCGCCGAAGCTGTGAAGTGCGTACTTTGTGCGAAGGTCTCGGCTGGCGGTTATCGGTTCTGCGGAGTGAGACCGGGCCATATGGAATAAAAATCGAATGCAATGAAGTCGATCCTCTCTCGACTTTCACTTTTAACGGTTGATTCTTCTAGTGGTTGCCCAGAAATAGCTTTTCATTTCTTCATGTCTCTTGAATCCATCCTACCCTGATACAGGGTATATGGTGCTAGATATTTCACAGATAGCAGTCACGGAACTCAGTTTACGGGAACTGCTGTAGCATAGTGGCTGGACGCTCGCCTGTAGGTTTAGAGATTATGAGTTTCGCGTCTGCTTTGATATATTTTTTTTTTTCTTTAAAATTGACGTTGGCTTCAAGGTTGACCTGGCTAAAATGGCCACCAGGAAATATCCTGGGAAGTAAAAGCAACTGGTTTGATGTTGACCCAATCATCCTGCAAATGCAGATTGGTCTATAAATTTAAGTCTAGCACAGTGGCAAAGCGTGATTAACAGGTATGTGTAAGTATTAGCAGGTAACGATTTTGCAAGAGAGGGTACCACGTGATATTGTCCCCTCGTCACTTCGCTGTCGAGAGTATGCGTATGCAGTAAGAAACGTAGTGCTAGTAACTGGTTGCTTTCACACGCATTCAGTTTACGCATGAATATCATGAGCATGCAGCTGGCGCTCTATTTCGGCTATTTTCGAGATGTATACCGGATGCCTCTTTGTAATACAATAAAAAGTAATAATAAATAGTGAAGTAGTGAATTTTTCTTTTGCACTGAAAAGTGTAAGCGGCCATAAACTCTCCTCGCCACAGATCTTGGATCATATTTCTGACTAGTCACTTGCGTAAAAAATCCTTTACTTTGCTACTTAAATTGTTTACAAATACACATTCAGGGGGCTGCGTGGTCTCAGGAATGGAGTCCGCCTATAGGTTCCGGGTTCAATGCCCCGGCTGGGATTTTTTCACGTGGACTTAAGACTTCTAGTAATTCCCTTCTGTCTCTGGTGTAGTGAGATCGGGAAAAAATCCCTCAGCAGTTGGAAATTGAAAAGAGAAGCCTGGCGGCGCTGCCCAGGCAAAATATGGACTTAAACAATCTACCCAAAATATTTCAGGATCCTCGCCGGTGCTGAGCTTCTTTGGACTCAGACTTGAGTTAGAAAAAGAACGGAGCACTTATGGCTTACTACCCTTGTGCCATGATGTTAGATCCGTTGTTCAAACCAAAACCCAAACAAATACACATTCACCTCGTCATTTGCACGGTTTGCCTACCAGCAGTCGTCTGTGTAGCTCAGGGTTCGAATCCCTGAGTAAAGCCATGGCCGGGTTGATTTCTCTCCCAGGATAGAGATCATCTGAAAAAAGCACATATCGTATTTTCCTAATATATATAATAGATAAATTCGAATACTTCACATTTCGATGTATATAACAACGTTGCCATAGAGCAAGTCTTCATCAGGGATTTTTTTTTTTTGCATCGGCTGTGATGATTTCTTCTGCCTCAGTGGAGCATAGGCTGTCAGCCAGCACACGTAAAGCATTCACTGTGATATGCAGCTCATCCGATGCCCTCACTGTCTTCTCTCTCCTGCTCTCTCTACGTCACATTTCGATGTTTATAACAACGTTGCTATAGAGCAAGTCTTCATCAGGGGTTTTTATTTTTTTTTAAATCGGTTTTGATGACTTCTGCTCCAGTGGAGTATCAGCTGCCAGCCAGCCAGCACACGCAAAGAATTTACTATGATATGCAGCTCACCGCATGTCCTCACCAGCTTTTAACTTAACTCTCCTGCTCTCTTCGCCAAGTGTTTTTTTTTTTTTTTTTTTTTTGGTGTGTATGTATTTGTTATGATGTAAGAAACAAATGGTGACAAACGGAGAGAAGATATTATCTTAGGCAGAGTAGGTTATGACATCAATTATCCCGACAACAAAATGAGTTTGACTTTACAATGGTTTTCTTCGTTTAAAATGAATTAAAACTCTACTGAATGATCAAGAAAAACGAATCCAGTTTATTATTCCATTTCATTTCTCACAATTCCTATTTTGCATATTTCCGTTTAAATCATTTTTTTCATTTGCGTGCGTTTGCTGTCCTGTATATTACTTTTTTTATGTGATTTTTTTTTTTCTTTTTCTTTCTAAAGTCAGCTCCATAGTAGCGCGCACACATATTCATACGGACACAAACATATTTTTTAAAGATTGCGATTTATCACATAATAATAATACTAATAATAATAATAATATTAATAATAATAAGTCTGAGTTAAACTAAGAACTAAAATCACAACACTCGGGACATTCCCATAAGCACTCAGTCCTCATCTTCAGTAGCCAGTGAAGAGTTCCAATGCTGATGGTGGTTGTAGCAGTTTGTTTATAAGTCCGTCTTGCCTTTCCACTGAGAGTAGAGTGTCGACCAGATCCCTCTGAACGTAATGTTTTCATGGTGTCGGTTGCCCTGTCTGGCGTGGAACCAATACTTTTTTTTTAAAGAAAATATTATGCAATATTTCTTTGTCAGTTCACACGAGAACGAGAATTCTCAAAAGTTATATAAATCATATCTTATACGGAAGTGAATTATGGACAGTTGGTAGATAAGGGAAAAATTATTTGGAAGCTTCGGAGGTGTGGTTTTATTTTTTTTTTTTTTTTTTACGTATCCAGAAACCATGAGTTGTAAACCCTTTGGCTCGGTACTATGGATATCGCAACCCTTCGGCCTTGATTCCATTATAGGTACCGTTAATCTGGGAGAAATGTGGCTTTTCTGCCTACCCCCGGGAGTGAACCCGGACCACAAGGAATTCGTCACCCGGCCGCCGCGAAAGTCAGGTTTAACCAACTTCGCTAGGAGAATACTCACTCCGAAGATAAAAAGAGGGATAAAGATGTCTTGAAAGAAACTGACTCACACAGAGAACTGATTGCCCACATCAGAAAAAAACAGTCAACATTTTTTGGTCATGTGATGAGAAGGAGAAAACTGGAGTTAATTGTGACAGTATGCAAGTTGGAGGAGAGGAGAGGCAGAGGGAGAACCGAGAGGAAAGATGTTGGACAGTTTGACATCATAGCATGGAGGATCATCTGTGTCAGAGCTGACTGAAAGTACACGATACCGAAGGTTGCGGGTAGATATGACTATCAACGCCACACGGCATGGACTTAAAGAAGATGCAACAGTACGCAGTTTAGACATCACTTTTGTTCGGCCCTACTGTAATAGACACCGCGAGGTGAGTACAGGCACCTTGTTTTAGACACTTGATGCTGAATGTAAGTCCTGTGTGGAACTGGCATTACCTTGTTAAGATGATTGCGCACTTACTGAGGATCCTTGTCAGAGATGCGAAACGGCGAAGCGGATTCTCCCCACATGGATGTTCAGCTAACACTTGGCACAGACACATATAGACTGTCAACAGCTGAATCCCGATATGTTTGTAGGACATGCTTTGTGTTTCCGGGTTAGCACCTAGATACAAACATGGCATGCATGGGGTACGTATAGCATTGCGGAAGAAGATAGGCTGCATGTTGTAATTGTTATGATTTTACGAATGACATGAACAAAAAAATTGCAAATAATTCAGAATTATGTTAGATTCTTCTTCTTCTTCTTCTTCTTCTTCTTCTTCTTCTTCTTCTTCTTCTTCTTCTTCTTCTTCTTCTTTTTCTTCTTCTTCTTCTTCTTCTTTTTCTTCTTCTTCTTCTTCTTCTTCTTCCTTCTTCTTCTTCTTTTCTTCTTCTTCTTCTTCTTCTTCTTCTTCTTCTTCTTCTTCTTCTTCTTCTTCTTCTTCTTCTTCTTCTTCTTCTTCTTCTGCTGCTGCTGCTGCTGCTTCCTCCTCCTCCTCAACGTCCTCTTTTTTTTCATCTTCCTCTTCCTTCTTATTCTATTTTTCTTTCTTCATTTTCATCGTAAACTTCTTCTTTATCTTCTTCTTCTTATAGTCCTCCTCCTATTCCTCTTCCTACTCGTCTTCTTTTTTCTCCTCCTCCCTTCTTCGACATTTTTGGGGTCTATTTTTCATCGTAATTTTCTTCTTCGCCTTCATTTCTCTTCCTCCGCCTCCTATTTCTCTTCTTCCTCCTTCTCCTCTTCTTGCTTCCACTTCTTTACCTTCTCTTCGTCATAATCTTCTTCTTCTCCTCCTCCCCCTTCTTCTTATTTTTCTTATTCTTCCTCTTTTTCTTCTTTTTCTTCTTTGTCAGCTGCTACTGCTACTGCTGCTACTGCTACTGCTACTGCTACTACTACTGCTACTGCTGCTGCTACTGCTACTACTTCAACTTGCAGCAGTTTGTTATTACTATACCACCTCGTATCACCTTTGCTGCTACTGCTGCTACTGCTACTGCTGCAACTGATGTTACTGCTACTACTACTGCTACTACTACTACTTCAACTTGCAGCAGTTTGCTATTACTATACCACCTCGTATCACCTTTGCTGCTACTGCTACTAATGTATAATCCTTCTTTTTTAACTCCTGTGTCGAGCCAGGAAAAATGGGTATCAGTTAATGTACTATTGGGCTATTAAACTAATAATCTAGCACCATACGCCACGGGCATACAAATAGATTGTTTCTCTTCTACTTTTACTTTTTGAAAATTGTGTGCAAATTTTTCTTGTTTCCATGCGTTTTCTTTTTTCCATGCGTTTTTTTTTTTTTTTTTTTTTTTTTACACTGGCATCATGAGAACTAATAGACTAAAATTATTAGGGGCATATTGAAAGAATGTCAGATGACAGAGAAATTAATACTCTATACACGAGAGAAATAAATGGTCGTAGACCACGAGGCAGACCAAGAAGACGAGATAATATCCATTCAGACCTGCAAACACTTGGTGTCATCAACTGGAAAGAGAACGCCAACCAGAAAGATGAATGGATATCTGCAGCAATGAACCTCAAGGGCTCGGAATGCTGAAGAAGAAGTAGAAAAAAAAAATTCTTTTGCATACACTAATCCATCCGGGATTGTAAACCTGAAATGTTGATATATAGCTACTCAATGAGACGCTATTCGGATAATAATCCAACAAGAACAAGAAGTTTCCGTTAGGGGTTACTACATTACTATGTATGCACACACACACACACACACACACACACACACACACACACATACACACACGCGCGCGCGCACACACACACACACATAAAAAATAATCATTGCGAGTTGAGATTTTATAAAGAGGTAAAAAATAAAAAGCAAAGATCTTACCGAGTTTTACCTGAAAAGAAAATATATTTCCTAGAGAAAAAAAAAAAACCACTTACAAAATCTTACCTGAAAAAAGAAGAGACTCTTCCTTAGCAACAAAACAAAAAGATTGTTACTATATCTTACCTGAACATGAAAGATATTTCCTTCAAAAACTGAGATCTTAGCAACTGCCTGAAAAAAAAATATGTTACTAAATCTTATCAGAAAAGAAAATATTTTCCGCATTCTTCTGTTTCTTATGGTCAGTACATTATGGCGTTGGTAGCCGTGTCTCTCCGCAGACTTCTTTCATACGATCTTTTAATCAGTCCAGACACAGAGGATCCTCCACGCCACGGTGCTACACTGTCCTGCATCTTCTCTACTGGTCTCCTCCTGCCTCTCTTTCCCTTTAACTTACCCACTGTCGTGACATATTCCAGTGGTCTCCCCCTGCCTCTCTTTCCCTTTAACTTACCCACTGTCGTGACATAATCCAGTGGTCTCCCCCTGCCTCTCTTTCCCTTTAACTTACCCACTGTCGTGACATATTCCAGTTTTCTCCCCCCTCACGATGTATCCAATAAATGCAGATTGTGCCAGTCTGATGAGGGCAGTGTAGAGACATAACATTTCTTCGCAAAATACTCTTATTGCAAGTCTTACCTGAAAAGAATCTTGCTAAATATAAGATTTTACTAAATAATATTTGGATCGAGGAGAAGGGAAAAGGGGGTGGGGGGATGGGGGTGCCAAATAAATCTTTCATTAAAAAAATATTTGACAAACTAATACCTGGAAGAGAAAGATTTTTCCAAATCTCACATAAAGAAAAAGATCTTACCAAATCTTACCTGGAAAGAAAAGATCTTACCTAAGTCGAGAAACTGCCTTGATTTTTTTTTCCAGATCAGCTTATCAGCAACACAGATTTATAGTGTACGCCTAAAATGACCTAGCACCTGTTGAACTGGTTTCAAATTAATTCAAATACTTTTTTAAAAAATCTAAAATTATTAAATATGTGAATTACTTTCTAGTGACACTTGTTCGTTTTTTTCTTTTCTCCTTTAGTCAACTCAAATAAAAGGAGATTAATTTTCTGAGTGTCGTAAACTGGATATCCCAAATGTGGGCACTGATAAATGGCTTTATATAAGCTAAAGATTTGGCTTCATAAATTATGATTAATTCACAAATAAAAATATGTGGATAAAGTAATTAATTCTTTATGAATATCAGATTTCAAAAATGATTTGATTGTATTGAACCAGATGCTTTGTTGTGACGTTTCATCAATTTAGCTGCCATCTTGTTTCATATTGAAACTGGACACAAGAATTATGCCAACTCCCACACAATTTCGTCTTTTATCTTGTTTCATTTGTCACATTTCCGGAAAATCCAAAATGGCATAGAAACCATTTTGAAATACTGATTCTTTGAAGAGGACACAATGGATGCACACGACACCGATTTGAAAAAAAAAATTATCTGTATAAAACGACCCTTTCTGTGATTCAACTTTCAACTCGCAAACAGGAAATAGGTTATGAGATACCGCAAACAAAGCAGAAAGGTTAATCGAAGATTGTGTCGGGTAATGACAATGGAAGTTGACGATAAACCAGTATCGGACTGAGAAGCAAACAATAACCAAAGACAATGCAGACCAACAATATCTTCGTTGACAGACTGTATATTAATTTTTCAAATGTGTATGGATTTAGTTGGCCGGAGATGCGCCCAATTTAAACAAGGGAGTTAAAACATGTAATATTTATTTCTGGTGGTAAAATAATATAACGTTAACCCATTACGCACTCACGTTTTTTAAAGTGCTCTTTATATACTGTCATACCCTTGTGGGATGCAATTTTCAGGTATTTTGAAGCCCCACCCTGGCTTTGGCCGGGGGCCCTAAATATAGCCGCCCCATAAATATGGCCTAACGGCAGAACAGGGTTTCCAGGACCTCTCCACGGGTGAACCTCATCCGCATGGTGGCACTTTGTGTCACCGGGTGTTTATCGCTTGTGTGATGTCCTGGTGGGGTACAACTTACTTACTTTTAAGTGTTTGTTTTTCCGAATCCTGGTATTGTTATTTTAAGTAAAAGTATCTTCGGAAAAGATGAAGTGATGGCATTAAGAACATCCTTACAGAAATGAAAATCAGTGTTAATAGTGCTTTTGACATAGCTCATCAACGAACATTACATCTCCCCTCCCCCTACCCCCCCTCCCCCCCCCCCCCCCCCCCCCCCCCCCCCCACCCCCCCCCCCCCCCCCCCCCCCCCCCCCCCCCCCGACACTTCAATGAGGTACGAGGTGGAAGAGAAGAAGAAGAAGAAGAAGAAGAAGAAGAAGAAGAAGAAGAAGAAGAAGAAGATGAAGAAGAAGAAGAAGAAGAAGAAGAAGAAGAAGAAGAAGAAGAAGAAGAAGAAGAAGAAGAAGAAGAAGAAGAAGAAGAAGAAGAAGAAGAAGAAGAAGAAGAAGAAGAAGAAGAAGAAGAAGAAGAAGAAGAAGAAGAAGAAGACGAAGAAGAAGAAGACGAAGAAGAAGAAGAAGAAGAAGAAGAAGAAGAAGAAGAAGAAGAAGAAGAAGAAGAAGAAGAAGAAGAAGAAGAAGAAGAAGAAGAAGAAGAAGAAGAAGAAGAAGAAGAAGAAGAAGAAGAAGAAGAAGAAGAAGTAAAAGGTCTCTTCGCACGCCAGTGACGGGCCGTGCATTTAAAGCTAGACTCATATATTTCTGAACTTGGTGGCTGGTGTGGTCGGCCGCCTTTACTTTACAGGATTTCAACTAGTACCTATTGATGTTAAATTATTATTATTACCATTGCCGGCGTCCCAGTGTCAGCCGCAATTTTGTTATTGTTATAAAGACTGGCTGTTGCCGGGGGCCCTAATAGAACCCAACCTATAGGTTAAACGGGCTTTCTGGGACCTGTCCCCGGGTTATCCTCATCTGAATGGTGGCACTTTATGTCACCGGGTGTTCATTGCTCGGTGTGATGTCCTGGTGTTGTACCCATTTAAAGCTGGGAGCTCAGGTCTCGTCTCATTTGATCTGATCCGCTGGTATCTTGCAGTGTCCAGGTGAAGTATAATTTACTATAAAGTGCCCGTCTGTGTCCTTCGTAAATGGGAGTTCATAGGAACTCAGTAATTCCATCTTTACATCGCTTGCGTGGTCGATCAAGGTCATGTTTGGAGAAGAGAACAATTGAAGTCATGC